ATTATCCACCTTGTCATTGAACTTACTGTAAGTACCAGGGCATATGTTTGACTTGGTTTGTAGGATCTTGTCAAGTACTTCTTAGAATTTCTTTTATATCCCCATGTCAGTGGTAGAAGTAAATTTTACTTTCCTTTGTAGAAGTTATGAGCACTACAAAGTCAGATTTCTAATTATTCCATGAAATGTTCTTGTTCCCTTTGGGTACACAATGAAACCAACTCCTTTGTTTCCCTTTCTTAAGTGAACCAATGAGTTCTTTTGTTTATCTGCAACTTTTTTCCTTCTGATTTTATGTATAAAATATTAAAGTGTCTAGTAGTGATTGGTTGTTTGAAACTTTGATGTCACCAATTAATGTTTTCAGACAATAGTTTTTATTACCCTTGCCTCCTTTTTTGCCAAAAAGGAATAAGCATTTATATAGTGCCTACTATGTGCCAGCACTGTGGTAAGTGCTTTATAAATATTCTCATTTGATCCTCAACAACAACCCTGTGAGGTAAATGGTGTTGTTTTACAGTTGAGGAAGTTTAGTCAGACAGAGGTTTGGTAACTTGCCTAAGGTCACTAAGCTAGTCGGTGTCTGAGGCCACATTTGAACTCAGATCTTCCTGACTTCAGGTCCCAGTTACACCTAGTTGATAGTTCAATAAATGAAATTTCAGTGTCTCACACTCATATTGTTTATATTTGATCCTTTTGATTTAAACATTATGATCAATAGAGGCAGTTATGATAATACTGGAAAACATGCCAGTAGTTTGTTTTATTTAAGGTTGTAATGTTGGTATGTGGGTATTCCTTTGGAGCACTGCTTATATGATACCTTGGAGTATATTAAACCGTGGCATGTACATGAATTATTAAAGAGATGAATCAATCTATAAGGAACTGTTGTTTCACCTTTTTTACCCAATCATTGAGAAGATAGTTATAATACTCTCAGTTTATTAAGGCTTTCTTCCAGAGTTGTTCCTTTAATATTTTGTTTGTTTTTTTTTTCTTTTTAAAAGTTCTATTGATATGCTTTTTTTTATATCCCTGTGACTAATAATTGCCTCACACTCCTCCCTACAATAGATCCTTCTCTTGTAGCAAATAAATACTGTCAAGCAACATAAATCAATATGATGTCTCATAAATCGACACAGTATCTGTGTTTGAAAATGTATACCTTGTTTCTTACCTGTTCCATCTCTTTGCCAAAAGATCAGAGGCTTGAAATCATGATTGCTTATTGCATTGACCAGGATTTGGGAGTCATTTGATATTATTTTTCTTTACATTATTGTGAACATTAGATAAATTATTCTTGAGGCCTGCTTACTTTGCTCTGCACTCATACAAACCTTGCTAAGTTTCTCTGAATTCTTTATATTGGTCATTTCTTATTGGCAATCATTTTTCACTGATTTCACATACCACAATTTGTTCATTCCCAGATTGGTGGATAACCACTTGCTAATAAAAAGTGCTGCTAAATATTTATAATTATACCCCATGTTGGTCAAAAACAGGAAAGATCTCATGTTTTTTTATTTATAGTTAAATATTGATATGAAAAAGTATGTCATTGACTAACTTGAGGTGTGTATCTCTGGTAGTCATATTGCTGGATAAAAGAGTAGATAGTAGTTTTGTCCCTTCTTTTCTTGTTAGAACAATTTCAAATTGTTCTCCAGAACTGTCTTACCAGGTCACAACTCCACCAGTAATTCATTAGTGTGCCTGTCTTCCCAAAGCCTAACCCATACTGATCATATTAATCTTTGGATCCATTGCTTTTACATAATACCCAATTTTTTCTTATACGTTATTAAAGAAGAATTCAAATCTTTTATTGGTGGAATTAAGGGCTGAGACTTAGTCTCCTGACCATAGTCCAGTGATTCAAGTTGCATTGCTTCTTTTTTCTTCTTTCATGAAATATCTGCTAAGTAGAGAAATGGTACAGTAAAATGTTTTCTTTAAAATTTTAACTTTGGTTGTGATGAGTATTTTAGTCCTTGTTGATGATAATCTTGTCTCATGCTTTCAGCGACACAACAGACACATCTTTTCTACTAAAGAATATTTCTTTCCTTAATATTTATCATGATGACTTAAATATTCTGAGTAAAGTAGATTAGTGTTTTATGATGCCATATGATTTTTGCAATCGCTGGCAAGTAGGCATAATGAGATAAGTTATAAAAATGTAGGAAATGATTCAGTTAACAATGGTGTCAGTAAATGTAGTTTATTTCTGAATTTTAGTTTCATTCTATATGACCTTATTTACTTCATATCTAAACAATTATATTTCTTGTGAGTGTTTTGACCATTTTATTATATCTTTGTGCATAGTTTCTGGTGCCTAGTTTCAAGTATAATCATATCATCTCTTTTTAATCACCTATTCATTCAGTTATTGAGCATCCCAGGTGGCTGTCTGCCATTTTATATTGACTTTTAGGTTTTTGTACAATTTGTAATATTTATTCACCAATTCACATAAACCTAAACTTCATAATCTGACAGTGACTAAAGTTGCTTCTTTTTCGTTCTTTTGCCACCTTAGATGTTTTTAGTTGTATTTCTGAAGATGATTCTTTTATATAAGTGTTTAGAATGGAAATTGTAACTGTTAATTACAGTATTTATGAGTACTCATTGTATACTAGGCAATAAAACAACAACATAAATAACTAGAACGCATAATATGATAAGTTAAGGCAAAGGACCACTGTATTAATGGATATTCACTGTTAATGAGATCATTATGGATTTATAGAGCTGACCTTAGGAGTCATCTAATAGAACTCCCTCATTTTACAAATGAAGCTCAGATAGGTTAAGTATCTTGTCTAATTCACAAGCAGAGCCAGGATTGGAATCTAACAGGTTCTCTGACTTGAAACCCAGTAGTTTTTCTACTTTATCATACAGGGGAAAACTACTTGTATGTTCTAGGCAACCATTAATCCTAGCAGCTTTTTTGAAGTTACAGATAAAGACTGGATATGTGAACATTCAACCAAATATATATTTTTTTAAATTGAGTGGTTGCACAGGAATATGGCAGGGAAAGTCGGCTAGTGATTTTGTGGGAAGTAGATTTAGACCTACAACTTATTTCTTAGGCCACAGTGAATTCTACTAGAATGGTAGATTTAAACTTTAAAAAAAAAAAAGAAAGAAAGAATTTACTTAGTGAAAAGGAGACATTTTCTTCTGTTTAGTAAAAAAAAGTAGGGACGCATCATTGGGGCATTAAAAAAAATTCTATACAACATGAAACAACATAATTAAAAGTAAAAAAAAAAAAGATTGAGAAAATGTGCCTGAATTGTTAACATTTACATATTTTCACAATGGATAAATGGTTGGAAATAAATCGATAATGTCAGAAGAGGAAATTCATTGTCAATATTCACTTGAAAAATGGCCACCTTCATTAATAACCAAGAGACACAGATTTTAAAAGTTTTAAAATACCAATCACATTTGCAAAACAACAACAACAACAAAATAACCTCATAAGCAATGAAAACTAGTGCATGTGTGGGGAGGAGGGAGGGAAATTCTGTGAGAATTAGAAATTTGTAGTATCTTTTTAGAAAGCAGCCCAGCAGGATGAGGTAAAATTTATAAAAATAATTAATTTTTAACTCAGTTATTTCATTCTTGGGAATTATTATGAAAGTTTTATTTATTTAGGAAAAAATGATCTGTTCAAAGTTTTCATAACAGCTTTATTTGACATTTCAAAGCTTCAGGCAACTTAAAATGTCCCCCAAGCCATGGAATAATACATTAATTATTAACATTAAATTGTACATTGATTAATGGGATAATATAATGAAGATCAACAAGGATGAGAAATAAAAAAAATCTAGACAGACCTTTTTGAAATCACACAAAACCAAAAAAAAGGAATTAGCTTAAAGTATACACTAACTTGGATCACATTAGAATAGAATAGGAATATCTAAATGAACAAAGACACCTTATAGAAATTTAGAAGAAATGATGGAAATGTTATTACTTGTTATTATGTGTGGAAATTTGTTTGATTTGTTTAAGTAGTTCTAAAGAAAGTATAATTAGTAGTATTCTTGTTTGACATTAAGTTTATGATAATTTTTTTTAAATACTCTCAGTCATAGGAGAACTATCACAGAGCTCTGACTTCTATTATTTTAAGCCTTGGCTTATTACACAAGTTGTGTTTTTCTTGGCTAACTGGCTAATCTCAGATTCTGTCCCTTATCCCCTACCCTCCATTATACCAGAGATGGCTGCCATTTTAGGCCATTAGAGACAGACCTTTCCCTTTACATCTCCTACCCAATAATAGTGAATCTGTGGTGAATTAGATTCACCTAATTTATTGATTCCTGGGTAGTAGTAGCCTGTTGGTTTATTTAAAAAATCTATTCTATATCCCTAGCCATTTAAAAAGTCCCCTCCTCCCTTTCTGGTGTACCCTGATATTCCACTCATATCTTCCTAAGTTATCAATAGCTGTGTTATCTTCTATGTCTGGGTCTGATCTCCGTGGCATGGGGATGAGAGGTGGAGGTCTAAATGCCTCTATGCATGTATCATCAGATTATGGCAGTATCCCATTTCTCATAAGAATAAGTCGTCCTCCCAAAATAAGAGTTCACAACGTTTTCTTTTTTTACAATTTATATTCCCCTATTTGGTATCCTGTGACACTACAGAATGAGAATAAGGGATACATTGTATATAACTATTTTTTAGTTCAAGAAAATATATTCATATATATAAGCAACATATTGCAATGAAATATTACCTTCTTATATAGAAATTTATTTTTCTGTTCTTGCTAGCTTCATATTAAATTTCTTTTGAAATTTTCTTGGTGGAAACCATAAGCTACAAATATCAAGTGATATGATTGTAAAACAGAGAATGATATTTTTAAATATTCTTTTTCTGCACTCTGAATTGATATATTTTCTTGTATGTTCTTTTCCCCCTCTATACAGATAGAAGCTGAATTGGGTTTCCCAGGAGGTAAAGCAAGAATTATCCATAAAGAATCTGACATTATTACTGCTTTTGCTGTTAATAGAGTGAGTATTTTTAAAATGTGCTCTTTTAGTCGTAGAAATATTCCTTTTTGTTTTCTTTTTATACTCTTTGCTTTCTCATCTGATTTCTTTGCTTTTCACTTGACATCCTTATTTTTATATTCCTCGAACCTACTACTGTATATGTCACGTAATATGTACTTGTTGAATTGAATTTATCCTATTTGGCAGGCAGCATAAATAAATAGTAGATAAAAATATGAACTTGGAAATAGAAAGATTTGGGTCTAAAACCTGCCTTTGACACTAGTTATATGATAAGGGTCATGTCATTTAACTTTTCTGATTTCCTCATTTGTTTAAAAAAAATGAAAATAGTAATGCCTGCAGTGCAATAGAATACTGTTGGACTTAAATGAGATAATTTAAATAAAGCAATTAACATGGTTTAAATGTCACTTAATAATATCTCTGTATAATATATATAATATTACGGCCTCAGCCTGGAGGCTATAGGTTCCTCAACCCTAGGCTATTCCATTGTAAGCTTTTCAAAAGTCAGTCTGAAGAAAAATGGTGAAATTGTCAAGTTTGTCTTTATCCAACCTAATTCTTTTCCATATACTACTTGTTATCATGCCTTTTTGTTATCATCCTTTTTCCTTTCTCTGAAGCCCTGTTTAAAGGTAAAATTCCTTTGAAGGCTGGGTTTATGTGTGTTTCTTTCTAGACCTTTTTTAAGCACTTTAATTTGATAAGGGATAGAGTTATAGGTTGTAATTATTCTCAGGTCTATCTTGATTGTACAGTCCAATAAAATTTTAAAATTTATTGAAAGCTTCCTATCTTCTGGCCATTGTACTCAAGGCACTCTTTATGGCCCTCAAACTGGGGGTGACCTAAATAATAAAGGTCATTACTTACTTAACAACAACAACAACCTTTCTATTTGTCCACTTTTTTTTTCTTCATTTGTATATTTTATTGGGGAGAGGTGATCAACAGATAAAAAGATGGTATGAGAAGTAGGAAGCTAAGGGGGAAATGATAGATAGTAGCTGAATTAACATTTATTATTCTCATTCTTCTGTTGGAGAACTTAAACTGTCATGATAATTACAAGGAAAAATTTGGCAGACAAACTGAATTCATTTAAAGTATATAATTTTAACAGTCTTCCACCAGAAACTATCATTTATAGAACAAATGATTTTGTTTATCATTATTTGTTCATAAATTTATTGTTTTAAATAGTCACTTAAATTTTTGTAATAATTCATTATTATGTTTCAGGCAAATAGAAATTGCATAGCAATAGCTTCCAGTCATGATATTCAAGAACTGGATGTATCTGGAATTCTGGCTACACAAATCTATACCTGGGTGGATGATGAAATAGAACTTGAAACAAAAGGGTATGTTTTTATTTCCTTTTGATTAAATTATTTTGTAATATTAGAGACAATAGTAATAAAATTTAAATATTCAAAGACTTGCTAAATGACCTATGGTAAATTAATTTCTTAAAAGTTTTCAAAAGTGGAAAACCTTTAGAAGCAAGGTATCTGGGATGGAAATAAAGATGGATGGAAAGAACAGTTTTAAGTATGAAAATATTAATAGAAGGCAGACTAAGAGCACGGGCTTGGAATAGTTTGAGTTTCAAGGTATTTACAGTTTATTCTAAAAGAACTTTATGAAAATAAATTCTTAAAAAAAGTAAATTTAAAGGCTATTTAAAAATTATATAAATAAACTGAATCATTAGTAAATTGAAAAAGTGGGACCTGATTCAGCATTTTTACTTTGGTGGATGTCCACTTGTAGGTCTGATGATTTCTTAGTTATACATGCCCGTGATGATCTAGCATCTGTGCAAGGTACTACACCGTATACGCATAGCAATCCTGGAACTCCAATCAATATGCCTTGGCTTGGTAGTACACAGACTGGCAGAGGGGCATCTGTGGTAAGTAAGAACAATATCAGCAGTTATAATAACTGATGATTATAATTAATGATAACCACTACCACAAAGGGTTTATATAAAGAACAAATAAAATATGTGAATTATTTTGCAAAGATTAAAAACTATATAACTGTATGATGCTTATATTATTATTGTGTAACATGGGAGCCTCACAAACTACCTTGTGAGGTAGATGCTATAGGTATTATTATTCCCATTTTATAAGTAAGGAAATGGAGGCCCAGACAAATTAATTACAGGTACAGGATTTGAACCCAAGTCTTCCTGATTCCAAGTCGAATGGTACTTACTATACTATTCTGGCTCTTGATAACTGATAGTGTTTTTCAAGAGTCTTTTTTTAATTTTTTATTTTCTTTACACACTGAAGGAAATCCTTTTATTGATAATTTAATTTTTAAAGTTTTACAAGCCTAAGTGTGACTTTGACACCAGAAATTCTACCTTGGAAATTAGTATAAAGTATTTTAAAATTACTATAAAATTGTATTTTTTTACCAAGATGTTTGCTGCATAATGATTTTCCTAGTTGGTAACCTAAAAATTAATAAATAGTCAATTAAAAAGATTTATTAAGTACCTAGCATGTGCTTAGCCCTGTATTTGGCACTGTGGATAGAAATACAAAGAAGGAATCAATGACTACTAGCAAGGAGCCTGCATTCTAGCTGGAAAGAGAAGTATACAAATTATTAGTTGGAGGGAGGGCATTAGCAGTCATCATAGCCAGGTGCTTTTCGCTGCATTCAGCAGCACGTTTGCAGAAGTGGAGGAAAATGGTGGAAACCAGAGCAGAGGTTTAGTCAGGAGTGAAATAGCAATAAGATAAGGGAGTGAAAGATTCGAGGTGTAGTTTTAAAGGTTGAAGATTGAGATAGGAAGAAAGTGAACCCAGAAACAGGCATAATGGCTTGGTAAAATAGAGGGTTTATAGGTACAGTGAGTACAATGAATAGGTTTTATAGGGATGAGGCACAGGAGCAGACAGTATGTTGTTGGATGATTTTTGTCAGAGGAATTTTTCATCAAGTTTTTCATTAAGGATGTGGAATGTGTAGGAAATGTTGAGATCTAGGGCATGACCCTCCTTGCAGATTGCTGAGGTAGATTGCTGAAGTAGATGAGATAGGTCATGGATTTTAAGAAATTGAGAAATTAGAAAGTTCAGGATTTTTTAGGCAATATCAACATGAATGTAGAAGTTTCCTAGTCTAAATGTAATAATTGGTAAAAACCAGAGCCTAGTACACAATAGCTGCTATGATTCAAATAAGGTGGAAAATTTTAATCAAGTAAATTTAAAAGGAAGAGAGTTGCTGAATTATGATAGCAAAGGGAGGATCTCAAAGTCCCTTTCCAGGACCAGTCTGTAGTGGGTTATGAATGCTGGTGCAGACAGTGTTGGAGACACTGTTTAGGGATACAGTTTTATGGAGCTAGAGTCAGGACTTGTGAGAACATGAGTGTAAGAAAGTAAGAGTAAAGGAGTAAGAAAGAGGAACAGAATGTAAAAGATACTTATTTACTATGGAACAGGATTTACAGAAGGCACAGTAGAAGGGGAGTGCAGGATTGGAGTGGAACATGGATGGGGTAAGGCAGAGGAAAATGGGATGAAAATATGGGAAAGTTAAGAATAATTTGCCCCAAGTAGCCTGCGATTGAATAGTGCAGGGAAAGAATGAAAAACAGGTAGTGGGAGATTTGTTATCTCTAGGGGCAGATAAATAATAATGCTCACAGTCTCAAGGGGATATTGCTAGAGAACTGCTTAGAGGCGGAGGATTGAACCCTAGGCCTGGAGTCAGAAATACCTGAGTTCAGATTTGGCCTCAAACACTTTAGTAGCTGTTGTGTTACCCTGGGCAAGTCATTTACCCTCTGCCTCAATTTCATCAACTCTGAAATGGGGATGCTAATAGCACCTAACTCCCAGGGTTGTGAGGATCAAATGAAATCATATCTGTAAAGTGCTTAGCACAGTGCCTCCCACATAGTAAGCACTTAATAAATTCTTATTTCCTTTCTTCCTTTGGCTAGGAGGGTAGAGCCAAAGCACCCTACTTTGTGCTCCAAAACTAGTGTGTGGGGGCAATGATTAACTGTTTTTGCAACCTGGGTGCAGAGGGCACTGGGTGGTAACCAAGTAGTTTTCAATATTAAACATTATCATTATTTTGAATGTTGATCAAGAAATATTTAATATTTTTCAAACTTACTTTTTATAACCAAGTTAAAACCACATAAGACTGAAGAAAAGCACTAATGCACTGATTCAAAATTTCTATGTGTATGATTAAGAGGGTTGATAGATCCACGCTTATATTAGCTCTAGTCTTTCCAAGAGTCTCCTTTATTGATATCTAAGAATTGAGACTCAAAGGTCAGAGAAATTCATGCTATTAACTTTTACTTGGAAATTTTTGCCTTAAAAAGTATGCGTGTTATGTAAGTAAGTCCAGTTAGGGTAGTTATTTAGTGCTATTCCTTAATAGCAGTCCCTTATTTGTTGTATAGTACAGCATTTTATATTTCTCATAGCCCTTTCCTGTGCATTATCATCCTTAACCCTTCTGGCAACCCTGTAGGGTGAGCATTATTACTCTGTCTTTCTGCCCATTTTAGAGATGGTGAAACTGATGCCCAAAATGGTTTTGTAACATTAAGATGCACAGCACATTAGTCTACTGAAGGACCATCATTCCTAAATAGAAATATTTTAGGCATTAAATTCTAGACCCAGTTAAGGTAATTTCTGAGCTAACAGTGAAATAACTTCCTCATTCACTCTCAATATATAAATTACTTTAATTTATATTTAGTAGATCCATTATTTAATCTTTAAGTGTATATCCTGTCAGTACAGATTACAGTGTATGGTTTTCATGAGCTGCCACAGCCCCCAAAAAACAAGAGCATGGTTAGCTTCTCACAAGCTATTCAGAATATAACTGGATTTGTCATTTGGTGATAAGTTCCTAATGCAAATAGTTGTTTCTGCTATGTATGTCTCTTCATGACCCCGTTTGGAGTTTTCTTAGCAAAGGTAGTGGAGTGGTTTGCCATTTCCTTCTCCAGATCAAACTGAGGCAAACAGGGTAAGTGACTTGCTGGGTCACAACTATCAATGTCTGAGGCCAAATTTGAACTCATGAAAATGAGTCTTCCTTACTCCAGGACCAGTGCTGTATTCACTGTGCCACCTAGCTGCCCTTCTAAAATCCTTTGACAATAGTTTAAAATTGTTACCTTCCAAACATAATAATCAGAAGGTGAGATAGATATTATAAATGTGATTATTTTCTTCTATGCTTGCTGAACAGAAAATGCCTATAGGAGAAAAATGTTATCTTTATTATTTCTTTTGTGGATAAATTTTCCCTTTGCTTCTTCGTTATGCCAGGAAGCACTTTCTTCTTGGACCTTGATCTCCTAGTTTGGAAAACTGGGCTGAATCAGGGGAGTGTAGCAAGTGACAAATGTGCACACCTAAAGTGAAAAGTATTTTTAATTTTCATTACTAATTCTGTGGATCTTAATGATATATTCTCTTTGGATATTCTAGAACAGCTTTGCATCATTCTTTGCCTTAACCGTTTCCATTTTTGTTCTTTGTTCGCCTGTATTTCCTTACCTGTTGCTGTATTTTCTTAAACTGTTTTCTGTGATACATTAGGCAATATCAGTAAATTCCTGTTGACTTTCTTTTTTTTTTTCCTGAGGCAAACAAGGTTAAGTGACTTGCCCAGGGTCACATAGCTAGTAAGTGTCTGAGGCCAGATTTGAACTTAGGTCCTCTTTACTCTAGGGCTGGTGTTATATCCACTTCACTGCCTAGCTGCCCCTCTTGCTGACTTTCAAAGAAAGATTTATTTGAAAATTTAAAAAAAAAAATTTTTTTTTTACCAAATCCTCTTAATGTTTTAGAGGAAACTTTTTAAAACTCCAAACGTAGCTCATAGTATTAGAAAATTTCTGTTTTTGAAATTAGAAGGAATATAGTTTCCCTAATTTTAACTCTTATTATTGAGAAAGAGCCAAAACACATTGGACAGTAAGAGATTGCTACTTCCAGCTTTGGCTATTTTGGAAAACATGCAGCCATCATAATTACTTTATCTCTGTTGTTAGGTAGCATCCTTGTTGTTACTACTGTCCTCCTATCATTAGTGTTGGTCTATACTTTTATCCCCCACTTTAGGTACTCATAAAATTAAAAAGACCTGCATGACCTAAATGTGATTATATACACATAATATATTCCCCATTTTCCATGTAAATCTTAAATACCCCTTTATTTTTATATATTTTCTTAGACAGGCTTCTAAAATAATTCAGACACTGGCAAATAAATGACTTCCAAACTGATACACCCAAACAATTTTTTAAAAAACTTTTTTTTAAATTAAATTTTCTATTTACCTCTTTTTTTTACATGCTTCTGCCTGTCTTTCTTATCTTACAATATTCAGGAATATGCCAATAAATTTAATGGAATCAGAAAGGAATTGGCAAGAAAGGAGGTAAGACTAAATTACTGAGGAGAATTTATTCTTAGATTCTTAGTCAGTGAAGCAAAAATTTTATGCACACATAAATGTAAAATCTATGCTATGAGGTTTAGTTTCTATTGTTATTTCTAAACATTTTCAGTACCCCCAATGGTAGTTCTGGAGTCAAAGAGAAATGATGTAATTATTGAATTGCTTGTCACACTTTCATTTTAAGATTATGGTTTATTTTTGTTGCATACTTAACAAAACATAAACAATCCTTGTATGTTAACAGATGATTAAGAAAACTATTAATAATGTCAGAAGAATGGCTTCACATCCAACACTACCTTATTGTAAGTCAATTGGTTAATATTCAGTTCTTTACTATTTACACTAATTTTCCTTTTTCAAATATCATGCTTTCTTTGTAATTTTTTAAATGAATTTATCACATATATAATTTATGTTAAAACTTACTTTCGGTCCTAAAGAAAAATTGCAGACACTTAATATTTCATTTTATTTTTCTGAACAGAGATGATAGTAAAATCAAAATCTTGACAAGGTCTTTTACAAAAACAAAAGTAAAAAATACTTTTGAGTATTTAGAATAGGTTCAAGTAAGTTAAGAACATTTTTCTTATGCTTTTCTAAGTAATCTAATTTTAACTGAAAAATTCCTGGCAACTTTAGTGTTTAACTTTGGTTTGAGGGGAAAAATTATATGACCACAATGGGTTATAAAACAAAAAAGCCTAAACCTAATTATCATAGTATTTTTGCTTTGCATTAGTTTGATCAGTTTTTATTATTATTTGTTCAGAGGTTCACTTATAAAATATTACATTAGTAAATAAAATATCAAAAGAAACTGTTATTAAGCTTCTTATATTCTAAGGCAGGATAATTCATTTTCACTTAATCTTCTTAAAGCTTAAAAGTAAGCCTGCATTAAACAGCATATTTGGTTAATGGGGAAGTATTGGAAATATTGAAGCAGTGAAAAAAGATTCTAGGTAATATTTTAAAATTAACTGGTGGATTGGCATCAATACTTATATTGTCATGTGAGTGTCTGATTATAGCTTACTTTTTCATGACTTGATATAAAAAATGTCCCAAAAACATTAATATAAAAATAGTACATTCTCATGGATACTATTGTAGTAAAATAAATGAAACTAGCATTTCTTTCTTCTTAATGTAAATGTTATAATTGGCTATTTCTACAGGTGAATTAGTTTTTATATACAAATTAAGCCAAACTCTTTTTAAGGAACACTAATCTGGAATATTGAATAATTGTGATCAAAGTAGTGTATACATAATAGCAAAATAGAAAGCACTCAGTATTCCTATTCGTAAGCTCACTTCTAAACTGAGAATGCTGATAATCACTTTTAGATTTTAAAAAGCTCTTGTTTCCCATATAATACAATTGTCAGGAAGTGTAAATATAATCATTTGTATTTTCTGTGTGAGGAAATTGAGTTTTAGAGAATTTAGATTACTTAATCATGGCCTAACAAAGTCTAAGTTTCAAGGTTAGAATTTGAATCTAAGTTTTTTGACACTCCTCCCCTTCCCCTCACCCCCACCAAGTCTAGTGCTTTTTCCACTATACTGGGAAGCTCTGTTAGCAATACTGGAGTCATGGAGTCAAACAGAAAGCCAATATTACTAACCTATTTTGATCTCACTTATAAATTCAAAGTACAGATGTCAGCTGACCTTAGATCATTGTGAGCTCCAGAGGCCAAGGGACAGATCTGAGGGATGAAGAAAAAATAAGAGAAAGTATTTTTTAAGAGGCAGTAGTTGTCCACGTATATAACATCTGTTTATGCTCTAGAACTTTATAACATCACCTGTTGTGGCACATAATTCTAGTTTATCCATTGTTATACTCCAATCAGTGGGGTTTAATTACAGCAATACTGAGAGGAATCTTTCTTACCATTGCACAATTCTATAGCTTAGACCTCAGTTTTGTGTCGTAATTAGGGGATGCCATAGCTTACTCCTCTACTGCTACTCCATTGTAGGTCACAAATTAACTTAGAGTTAACGTGTATTTTCTGAGCCTGTTTATCCCCTGCTCTGAGAAAAACTCAATAAAGAAGCTCTAAAACCTAAAAGAGAATGAATATCTCTGAAAGTAAGGTTTAGTTACCCTGCATTGCTTTGGAGTAATACTTGATGCTGCCTACTTAATTGGATTTTTTTAAGGGTAGTACAATTAAGGGAGCAAAAGAGATCATACCAAAGAAGCTCTAAGATATCAGACTTAAAGAATTTAATACCAATTTAAATAATAATTGAAAAGCTTTTCTACTGTTTTAATAATTTTCTATATAAAACCTATAGACAACAATATAGATTTAATTTTAAACATTTTCATTGCCACCCGGTGTGAAGTGTGATGTTTGTATATGTATATATGAGTATGCATGTATTTGCCATATACTAAATAAAGTACTTTGCTCACATTTCTGAAAAACCTAATAGAAGATGGAAACAAATGTATTTTAAACCAAAATATATATACTCCTCCATCCCAGGTAAGATTTGAAACAGTGATTTAGAGAATTCTTTCTGTCTATCTGTTTAACTTTAAAAGTGAAGAAATTGAAGCTCAGAGATTTTATGTTTTGCTCAGTCACATACCTAGTCAGTGATTGTAAGGACTAGCAGCAAGGTCACACAGGCTGATATTCTTTCCATAGCACTCTGTTTTTGTTTTTCAGTAGTTTTCTCTAACAGGGTGACATTGTAGAGATTTCCATTTTAAAAATGATTCAAATTGTGCTTTTATATGGCATTTAGATATTACAAAAACATCTTTTAAGTAAAAAAATGTAAATTATAAATGAATGTAGATGTATATAGATGAATGTGTGGATATTACATCTAATTCTTCTTCATATTGTTTGCTAGGAAGAAAATAGACTATCCTCAACATATTTTATTTCTAGTCAATTATAGAATCATTAGATGATAGAAATGTAGTCTTGGAACTAGAAGGGACCTTTGATGTCATCTAGTCCAACCCCTTCCTTTTATAGATGAGGTCCAGAGATGTTATATTTACCCAGGATCTCACAGCTAACAAATGTCCAATTTGAACTCAATTCATCTTGATTATAAGCTAACAATTCTCTCCACTGTGGCACCTAACTACTCCATATAACTTTAGTAATTACAGGTTTCCCTTTTTCCCTTCTCCAGTTTTCAAATGATTCTGCTTCCCCTAAATTCTCAAGTCAAATAATTGTTCATCAATAATAAGTTTTTGATATTATCATTGCTTCTCCTAATTTGACACTATTCAGCCTTTAATAAGTATCGTTAACCATTTTATTTCAATCTTATTATATTAGCCTTTTTTATCTAAATTTAGAAAAGTGCTAAGAATATCTTTTTTAATAGTCACCTATTAACAATGTAAACTTTTCCTCAAAGGATAAAAATAAAGACATAATACCAAGGAAAATATTGAGAGAGAAGCCTTTTATTCAATATGGAAATAGAACAATGTATCAAACTATTATTCCTTATAATTCAATCAGTAAGTCAGTAAGAATTTAAGCACCTGCCATGTGCTAGGCACTAGGCTAAATGCTAGGAATACAAGAAAGGTCAAAGACAGTCTCTGCTCTCAAGGAACTCACAATCTAATGGGAGAGACAACATGCACATAATTATGTACGAGCAAACTATAAACAAGATAAATAGGAAATAAGTAATAGAGTAAGATAAAAGAATTAAGGGGGATTGAAAAAGATTTCCTGTAGATGGTGAGGTTTTTAACTAGAACTTGAAGGAAACTAATGAAGGCAGGAGACAGAAATGAGGAGAGAGAACATTCCAGGCATGGAGGACAACCAGTGAAAATTCCCAAAGCTAAGAGATAGAGTGTCTTTTATGAGGAACAGTAAGGAGGCCATTGTCACTGGATTGAAGAATGTGAGGGGATAGATGGGGTACAAGACAGGAAAGGTTAGAGCTAAGTGCTCAGTTGTGAAGAGCTGGAGCTGATAGGGAAGAACAACTTGCATTTATTGAATATTCGGAGGTCGTGGTCAGATCACTTTGGCAACAGATTGGAGCATGATCTAGAATGGAAAGAGACTTGTGGCTGGCAAACCAATAAGGTGGCTATTGCAATAGTCCAGGCATGAAGAGATGAGAGCCTGCACCAAGGTACTGGCATTGTCAGAGGAGAAAAGAGGACATATTTTAGAGATGTTGCAAAAGTGTGATTGACTGGCCATGGCAACAACAGATTAGATGGGGAAGGACTGAGGGATAGTGAAGAGTAGATGATGACTTGTAGCCTGAAGGACTGGTAGGGTGGTAGTATCCTCAAAAGTAATGCAGAGATTTAGAAGGGAGGAGGGTTTTGGGGGAAAGATAATGAGTTCAGTTTTGAACATATTGAGTTTAAAAAGTCTACAGGATATACAGTTTGAGTTGTCTGGAAGGCAGTTGTAGATGTGAAACCTGAGACCAGCAGAAAACATAGAGGTGATAATTGAATCCATGAGCATTGTTGAGATCACCAAATGAAATAGTTTGGAGGGAGAAGATAAGATGGCCTGGGTCAGAGACCTGTGGGACACCAACAGTTAGCAAGTATGAACTAAATGAAGATCCAGCAAAGGAAACTGAGAAGCAGCAGTCAGAAGGAGAACCAGGAAAGAGTGTTGCCCCAAAAAGTTAGAGAAAAGAGAAAATCAAGAAGATGATTAATAGTGTCAAAGGCTGTGATGAATTAAAGAAGAAGGAGTATTCAAAAGACTTGGATTTGTCAGTTAAGAGATCATTGGTAACTTTGGACAGATCGGTTTCAGCTGTATTATGAGGTAGAAAGGCAGACTATGGAGTGTTAAGAAGAGTGTGAGAGGAAAGTAAATGGAGTTATTGATTGTAGATAGCGTTTTCAAATAGTTTAGCCACAAAGATGAGAAGAAATATGGGACAGCAGTTAGCAAAGATGAAAGGATCAGGTGAGGGTTTTTTATGGTTGGAAGAAGCACAGGCATGTTTGGGGCAGTAGGGATGCAACCAACAGATAGTAAGAGATTGAAGATAATTGAGAGTGGGAACAAAAGAGGGGACAGTCTAGAGAAGACAGGATGGAATATAATTACTTGTGCAGGTAGAGGGTTTTGTTTTGGCAAGGAGAAGGCCCGCCTCTTCATTTGAGACAAGGCTGAAGGAAGAAATAGTGGCAAAGGGCATCTGAATTCAATGAAATGAGGAAGAGGGAAGAAGGCAAATGACCTCACTTTTTTCCATAAAATATGAAATAAGGTTCTCAGCTGAGAGGGTATGGGGGAGCAGCAGAGGGTAGGGAAGGGTTGAGAAGACATGAAAAGATATGGAAGAGCTTCTGTGCTATGTGAGATAATGACTTAGAGAGATGTAGAAGGATTACCTAGTAGCAGTGAGTGCCCGGTTGAGGTTATGAAATATAAATATATATAGTGGACCCAGTCAGAATGGTTGCATGGTTTTCTTCACTGTCGTTCAGTAGCATGTGTGTAAGACAAAGGCAGTAGATGGTGGGAGTGATTCAAAGCTGAGACTTGGTAGGGCACAATTGATGATATGGAAAGGGGGCAAGCAACTCAAAGAGGAGAATATGAAGTTGAATTAGTTCACCAAGGGGTTGAAATGGGAAAAGAAGGAGAGCATCAGTAGTTTAAGGGTAAGAAGTAGTATAAAGGTAGGAAAACTGAGGGTTTGAGGGATTGGAGGTCACGTTGTGGCCAAAAAGCAGGGTTCGATATTAGAAGGCAGAGGGAGAGGTGGAAAGCCAATAGATTGTGATCAAATAAGGCAAGTTCTGACTTCATAAACACAAAAGTAGTACACTTGTGGGTGATGGCAAGATCAAGGGTATCTTTTTGTGTAGCTAAGGAGGGGTAGAGTGGAGTTGGTCATGGGAAACTAGTAAATTGACACGTGGGAAATTTGGATATTGGAGAGAATCAATATATATTTATGCTGATGTTGTAGCTATTAGTATTTTAAAATATTTATTATCATATATATTACACAAGTATAATGAGTATTCTATTTTATATACATAGTTGTATACTATATGTCTATACATAAAGTCATAATACCAAGATATTAGATCAGTTAGGCTAAAATTTGAAATTTTGTATAATTTGAGTTTTAGGAAACACATAAGGAGATTACATTACAGTTATCCCTTCCACATCACAGAAATTAAGGGATACAGTGCCCTCGCAGTCTGGAAAATCTTGTAAAATTTTTTGGCCCCCCCACTTCCTACAAGAGAAGAAGTCTGAATTTTTTTCTTTTTCTTTTTTTACAGTACCTTATTGTAAAATTTGGGTTGATATTATACAAATACTGTACCTATATTTTATTTCTGATTTTCTAAACTTTTTTCTGCATTGTCTGCTGGCCTTCATGTGTCATCTGCAGCTTCCACAAAACTCCCCAAAAATTCCCATTTAATTTCTTATCTTGACCGATGATATATTGAAACTGTGATGGGAAAAGTTGTGAATTGGAAGGGATAACAAATTCTTTTGCTATTAGTCATGGGATCCTTATTGATGCAAAAGATTTCTAAATACTAGGAAGTTGTTTTAAAAAGTTATTCACTCATAGAATTATTAAAAATTAAGTAGTATTTTAAAAAGATGCATTTGATTATTCTGCTATTATTGTCTGGTTTGTTATAAGCTCCATATATGTGTTTTATGGCACAACAACAATTTTATTTTAGATTTATGCAAATTGTATGTGATTCATTATAATTTTTCCTATATTAGATTGTTTTAAAACAAAAAAGATTTTAAATCTTTGTCCTCTTTTTTATAAAGATCTGACAGGAGCCCAAGATGGAAGTGTTAGAATGTTTGAGTGGGGTCATTCCCAACAAATAACCTGTTTTCGGTCTGGCGGCAATTCAAGGGTGACAAGAATGAGATTTAACCATCAAGGAAACAAGGTAGTGTGCAAGAGTATAAGTATTGAAAATGTACATGTTGTACAGATGTTAATTTTCTCATATATACTTTCTTAGAATGTATGTTGTGCACATGGGACATATCTCTACTATCTCAGACAGTTATTCTCTGCCAGAAAGTGTTCTTTATTATAAATTCTTTTTATTTTAGAATGTTTTGTTTTAAACAGGCCTTCCTGCTGAAATTATTTTCAGTGTTCCAACTCATAATTGAATATTTTGCTGGCCCAGTCATCACAGAACTACCTTAAATTACACAGTAGTGATGGTAAACTACTTCCCATCTCTTCATCCCAAAGAACAAAGGTTCTGTTAATCACTGGTTAGTGGAAACACCAAACCCAACTAATTTCTACTGGTAGCCTCTTCCCCACGTTTTACCTTTTTAAGTATTTTAAGCATTGAGTAATGGAGAAAACAAGGTGCTTAAAGGAGGGCAGCACAAATTTAGAGTTAAAGTTAGCACAAGGTCCACATGTTGAGAGCACCTACCCATGATTTCCATCAGTAGCACTGCAGGATTTCAGATGAAGAGCAAAATAAATTCCTACTACAAAAATATTAAGGAATAATAATGATAATTTTGTGTATAGATTTTCTGTGTTCTTTGTAGAGATTTAGGAGCAAGAGTGAAGGAAATTAGTGAATTTTTTTTTGTGGATTTTAGTATTTAAATCTAATACCTATTTTAGCTAACTTAGAATATGTTAGAAAATGTCCTAGGCTAGCAATGGAATGATTTTGATATTTTGTTTGAAACCCATTTTCAGGGTCAGCCTTATAGATTGAATACATTTAGGGATTTGTGATTATAAAGTATGTTACTTAGAGATTTGCAGTTTCATGTATAATATTCTTTTGAGGAGATTGTAATTGGAATGTGGGATTTCAAATTCTATTTGGCATTTAATTCAGAATTTAAAAAGCATTTAAGTTCATATAAAAAGACAATCTTCATAGGTCTTTGGGTTGAGATGTTTTAACTTAAAAACAACTCATGAGCCAGTTCACCTGGGGTCTAAGGTGACTGCTGCCATTGCCAAAAGAAGGAAGAGTTCTAGTTGTTGAGGGAGAATCTCACAACAGAGATAATGATCTGTTTTGTACCTCAGAACTCTATGAGATAGATAGTGCAATTATTCTTATCCTTATGTTAAAGTTCAGTCCATCAACAACCATTTAAGTGTCTACTATGTGCCAAGCACATAGGTTCTGGGGAATACAAAAGCAAGTGAGAAAATCACTCTCCTCTTTCCCTTGCCTCCTCTCTTCCCCTCTTCTCCCTGCTGCCCCTGGAGCTTATAGTCTAGCTAGGGGATATAGCATGTATGTATGAGTGTGTGTGTGTGTGTGTGTGTGTAACTTAAGCTTATATAAAAGATAATTTTGAAGGGAAAGCACGGCAGCTGGGTGAATCCTGAAAGATTTTATATAAAATGTAGTTCTTGAACCTTGAAGGAAACTAGGAGTTATAAGAATAGATAGTTCAGACAGGAAATGTAGTGCCATGTATGCAAATAGTAAGAAGGCAAATTTGGCAGTACCATAGGGCATATAAAGGAGAGTAATATGTATGGCTAAATAAATAGGTTAAGACCAAGTTGTGAAGGATGATAAATGCCAAACAAAGTAGTTAATCGAGCCTACAGGTAATAGGTAGTCACTGGAGTTTATTGAGAAAGAAAGGGGATATGGTGAGACCAGTACTCTAGGAATATTACATTAGCAGCTATGGGAAGAATGGTTTCAGTAGAGGGGAAAGACTTGAAGCACAAAAACCAATTAGGAAGCTCTTGGAATAGTCTTGGTTAAAGGTGTTCAATTGTTTTCAGACATATCTGACTCTTGTGACCCCATTTGTGGTTTTCTTGGCAAAGATACTGGAGTGGTTTGTCGTTTTCCTTCTCCAGCTTATTTTACAGATGAGGAAACTAAGGAAAACAAGGTTTAGTGACTTGTTCCGTGTTACACAGCTAGTAAGTGTCTGAGCCCAGATTTGAACTTAGAAAGATTTGGGCCTGGCACTCTATCCACTGTGCCACCTAGCTGCTGGTTAAAGGTGATCAGGCCTTAAAACTGAGGCAGTTGGCTCTCTGAGTAAAGAGACTATATGGTAAGGTTCTCCAGAGTTTACCCTAGGTATCAGGAGTATGGCTTATGAACGGCCCTCCATAGGCTGGTAACAACATCATGGAATGCTCTTGAAACTACCCTGCTAACTTTGTTTAAGCCCATACTTGCAGGTTTGGGTTTTGCTTAGGAATACTAATAATCAGGTTCTACCTTAAATCATGATTCCAATTTTTGTTTATAATGTCTTCAAATGTAATAGAATATAGATATTTTAATTATAATTTTGTAGAAAAATTCACCAAAATGCCACTGTACATAGTAAAAGTATATATGTTAATGTATGTACTTAAATTCTTCCTTTAATATTTTCTCTTCAAGTTTGGAATTGTTGATGCTGATGGCTATATAAGTTTGTATCAGACCAACTGGAAGTGTTGTCCAGTTACTGGAAATACTCCTAAGCCATATTTGGTAAGCTAAGAATTTCTACTTTAAAAAAAAAAAAGAAGTTTATTAAAGATAGAAATGTCTCACTGGGTTTTGATACCTGATCTTGCTTCATTGTTTCCTCCATTTCCCGTTTGTTTTATGGTCTCATATGTCTCTGGTGACCTAAGCCCGTTGTTTATAGAATGACACTGATGGTTAGCTGACTTTCTCAGAGTCACCCAGTCAGTAGGTCTTCTTTCTTCCTCCTTACTTCCTTATTCCAAGGCTACTTTCCTATTCACTATCCACATTCAGTTTCTTAGCCTTGACTATTTTAAAAATTTGATGGCCTTTTGTACTTCATAAGCTCTTATTTAAGAACAAAAGTATTTCTTAATAAAACAGTTAACTTTTGATTACCTGTGAGGTAGATAAAGATAGCACAAGTAATTGAAACATACACATAATTTGAAATGTTTTGAAGTTTCTTATTTAATAATTTTTTATTAGTGATACTGAATGAGAGAATTTGAATGGTTTATTCATACGGTGTTGGAGGGGAGACATAGATTTCTGATAAGCTGGTTGTGAAATAATTAGCCACTGAATGTTACATATGACTAGATCAAATCTTTCTATATTTCCATAAAAATCATTCCTATTTTTGACCATTTCAGACATGGCAGTGTCATAACAAAACAGCCAATGATTTTGTTTTCATCAGTTCCTCTTCTCTGATAGCCACAGCAGGTCTCTCAACTGATAACAGGTGAGATTTTATCCCTAAATAACATATGTGAGTATAGCCAATCTTTTGGAAAAATTATTTTTGTTGTTGCCTCTTTATTACCTTTTGTCTTAAGTGTTTTATTAATCCTGTAGTCATCTTAAAAGGTCTATTCACCGGTATTTAAGTTTGGCAGTAGTTTACCATATACAAAACTAGGAAAATTTTAGTATTAAAGGAAACAATCCATTCTAACTATTTCTAATGTTCTGTCTCTGAAATTCCTGTCTAAGCTTAGAGTCATAGTAGATAATCTCTTACTGGATTCTTGCCAGTGGAATAAAATTACCACAGAAGTTATTTTCCTGGCTTATTTTGTGGTTTGGGAAACAGATCATTTGGAGCATGGAGATGGTTTATATTGTATGTCATAGATCAGATGGGATGTTTTATGTAAAGGGTTTTGCAAACTATAACACATGAAATAAATATCAGCTAGTAGTAATAGTAGAATAAGCATTTAAGAGGGCTGAACTTTGGGGTACTCTAACCTGAGACAGCCTTGACTCAAACAATTTCTGTAATTCCATACAGTTCTCAAAATAAACAAGGTGGAAACCGTACAGCATTTTACTCTGTGTCCCAAGGAGGCCATTCAAGGGATCCCCAAATCCCCTGAAGCCTTCTATGGGTCACTGAATGGAGAATGTTGCTTGATGTATGCTTCTCATACAAGCCTGTATATCCTTCCATGCATGCATCACAACCATTTTAGGGCTGGAGAATAGACTGATGATGCTATTTTCCCTTCTGGTTTTTGTTTTTTTTTTTTAATGCTTTAAGGTACTTTTTTTTTTTGTTTTGGCATTCTGTTCTTTTAAAATTTTGAGTTCCAAATTCTCTCCCACCCACTCCATATAGTCGAGTTGTCAATCAGCACCAGCTCTACTCAGTGTCAGCAAAAGGTTCCCTGTAGTCTCTTTCTGACCAGTTATTGACCCCCTTACCATCTCTGGACTGAGAGCTTCTGAAGCCTCTGTTGCTGCTGCCATTTCATATGTAGTTTGCAGACAAGCCTCCACCCCTATGTCATAGGCTTCTACAGACCTCTTAAGGCTTTTTAATCCAGAGAAATTTCTCACCCTGACCTTCTGTTGCTTCTGCCGCTCCAAAATTTGACTTGAGGTGTTACTTTAAAGTTGTTTGAAGGGGAATGTTGGAAGAGCTCCGATAGGTGACTGCCCTTGATCTGGCATCTTGGCTACTATATATTGCTGCTTTCCTTTCTGTAAATGATCATTATCATTGAACAATATGCAGAAATGTATTATCTCAGATCCCTTTGGAATTTGGAGTATTTTAAATTGTGAATAAAATTATATGAAAATTCATTCACATATAAATATTTGAGCGATTTTAATATGAGATTTGAGAAATTTGAAAATATACTATGAAAGGAGACCATAATATCATGAAATAAATTTGTTATTACATTGCTAATCTCTTAAAACACTCATATAAAAGTTAGTGATAAAATTATTTTTTTTCCAGAAACATATGTTTGTGGGATACTCTTGTGGCACCTGCAAATAGCTTGGTACATCGTAAGTAAATACTTTTTGCAAATAATGAAGTTAATAAGGCTTATATGACTTTGTTTTTTAATCTCTAATGTAAACCATTACATCATTTTTACATTTGGATGATGACATTGCTTTACAACTATACAAGGTTTTGTTTCAGGAAGAACTGAGAATTTCTCAAGTTTCCCACTCCTGAACCCTGCTCAAATCTTCCCTATAGATCTAGGAATAAGTAGCAAAGTCCTAATCATACTATGCCCTCTCAGACCTTCTCAGCAACAAGGAAAAGAGGCAGCCAGGTGGTGCAGCAGATAGAAAATTCAATTTAGATTCAAGAAGACACTGTTCTTATCTGGTCTCAGATACTAGCTGTGTGACACTGGGCGAGTCACTTAAACTTTCTCAGCCACAGTTTTCTCACCTGTAAAATGGAAATAATAATACCACCTGCCTCAAATCCAGTACCTCAGATCTACATATGTGAATGTTAAGTTGAGATGAGTTTAATTGAGACAAGTAGTACAGCTATTATGACCCTCAATTTATAGATGAGGAAACCGATTCTGAGAAGTTAAGTGACAACCCATGATCACACAATCAGTGACTAAAGAATTCAAATCCAGACTTCTTGACCAAGTCCAATTAATCTGTCTACTAACAACATCATACTGGCCCTCGTTAAAGACCCTTTGAGTTATTTGTCATCTTATTTTTCCTAAGATCATGGTGTTCATGATTGATTGCTAAATAGTATCACTGGAAGAATATTGGTATTAGAGACTTGGGAGCAATCATTTTGGTATCCTAGAGAACACTTCAGTTTCCCAAATGTGATCCATGCTTATATTCTACTCAATTCTAGGCACCATGCTCTCTGTCCATTTGTAGTGATTATCCAAGATTTAAAATATTGATCGATTACTATAGTGGGCTCTTCATACAGCTATTTATCATCTAGATTTCATTCATTTTTCTTCTCCTTTGTTGTGGGTGTTTAGAATAATCTCTTTATCGTGGATTATCATGGATTTCTTTGTAGAGGAATAGTGGTTTGAGATTTAATGCAATTACTACATTGTGAATAGGAGCATTTGGAAAACTTTGCCATCTGTATTTCTTTTTTTTAATTTTGCAAAGATAATTTTCTATGACATTGGCAAATATTTTAGGTATATGCTGGTTTATCACTTCAGTTAATATCAGTATTCAAAAGATCACTGAAAATTATCTTCATAGTCAAATGTGTCATTGATTCTTGTATGATTTTGGTATAGTCATGGGATACACCTTATCTGTCAAAAGGTTTTACACCTGCAGTTTGTCTTATCAAATCTATTGCCTTTTTAAAATTTTACTTCTTTTTTTTAAAAGTTATCATTTTATTGATTTTTTTTTTGTTTTATATCACATGTATTTCTGAATCTGTCCTTCCTCCCTTCCCTACCCAGCAAGCTGTCCCTTGCAACAAAGATTTAAAAAGAGGGGAAAAAGCAATTCATCAAAACTAACACATTGATCATGTCTGACAAGAATGGCACTCAAGCCATATTCCACACCCATGCTCCCCCACCTGTGATCATCATAATTACACAATGTTCACTTGTACTTTCTGTATCAAGTATTTTCTTAAGACCAATAAACATAGCAGAGTCATATATTCTCTCTACCTCTGTCAAGTAGTATGACCTTAAAGGTATCTTTAATTGTATAGAATCATCTTTGAAATCCTACCTAATTTGATCTTCCTCAATAATACCTTTGTTTTATATAAAGACAAGCTTTATAGAGATAAGAAGGCAAATTTATAACTATGGATGAGTTGCTGATTTCTTATAGTTCACTTTTTGGGGTAAACCCCAAATACCAATGATATTTTCCATTCTTTTGGAAGCATCCCATGCTTCCATGGAGAGGGAGGGAATTCAGGAACAATTATTTCATCATGTGTCCAAAGACAACAAGAATATCATTTAATTGGATACTTGGTCATCTCCAATTGCAGGACTCACAACTATATAAGTAGTTTATTTGGCCTCTTCCATTGAAGAAGATAAAGATATATAGAAATTTCATAATGAGCTTGATGAGATTCTCTAAGCTAACATATGCTTCAATACTCAATGACTTCAGTGCAAAAGTAGAAATAAATTGGAAATCATGCAATTTGGGATCAAGAAATTAAATAGGCCAAAGGCACTCTGACTACTCAAAAGCCTCATGGATTTTTTCATTGTAAATAATCAATTATTTTTAAAAGCTAGTAGGAATTTGCAAGATTAAAATGAAATTTATTCTATCTCAACAGCTGGGAAACAGCTTCTTACAGATATTCCAGTCATTAGAGAACCAGTTAGTTTTGCAGACAGGTCAGCTGATTGGGACCAAGGACAAAGTAAACACTAAACTAGAAAAAGAGCTAAAGGTGGAAATAAGATACTAAATCTAATTATATTAGCACCAACCCTAACCTGTTTAAAAGGAAATAGACAAAATAGACAAAAAAAAAACATTGGCCAATGCAAAGTAGTTGCTACATTGAGGTGGCAGAAAGAGACCAATAACTGACTCAGCCAGCAAACAATCTCCAATTCAAATACATACATACAAATACAAAGATGTTGCATCCATAGGCAAAAACTATTTATTGTACAAAATCATTTGTAGAACACTATGGATAATGGTTTAAAAAAAAAACTGAGCTGTACTGGTTCACTAAACTTCAAAGAATCCTTGAACAGGAAACCAGTCCACAAAGTGCTTGTGAGATCCAGTGAGCTGTATTATTTGAAAAACATTTAATATGGATGAAACCAAGAGAAAAATAGCCACAAAATGAGTTTTAAAGAATGATCTAGTCTCAGAATAAATTCCCAGTTTAGATTAGATTAGATAAAATATGTGTTAACTGCTTACTATGAGCCAGACACAGTGCTAAACATTGGAAATACAAGCAAAAATAAACATAACCTCTGTGCTCAAGGAGTGTTCATTCCAATGGGTAAAGACCACACATAAAAAGGAGCTGAAAAGTGGGGAGAGGAAAAGAAGTATATTCTAATGCAGGCAAGATGGAAAAGTAGTCCTTTTTTTTAATTAATTTATTTTGATTTATGAACAATCACTTCCATATGCTTAGCGTTTAACATTTTTCTCTCCCTTCCTACCATTCATCCTCCCCAAGACGGCACACAGTCTGATATAGGTTATACATATGCATTCCTATTAAACATATTTTCACATTAGTGAAGTTGTGTGTAAGAATTAGAACCAATAGGAAGAACCACCAGAAAGAGGAAACAAAACTCAACGGAAGAAAAAAAAAATAGCAAATAGTATGCTTTGATCTGCATTCAAACTCCATGGTTCTTTCTTTGGATATGGATAGCATTTTCCATCATGAAGCCTTTGGAGATGTCTTAGATCCTTGTATTTCTGGAAAGGGTTAAGTTTATCAATATTAGTCATCGCACAACGTGACTGTTATTGTGTACAACGTTCTTTTGGTTCTGCTCACTTCACTCAGCATCAGACCATACAAGTCTTTTCAGGTTTTTCTGAAGTCAGCGTGTTTATCATTTCTTATAGCACAGTAGTATTCCATTACATTCATATACCACAACTTGTTCAGCCATTCCCCAGTTGATGGGCATCTTCTCAATTTCCAATTCTTTGCCACCACAAAAAGAGCTGCTATAAATATTTTTGTACATGTGGGTCCTTTTCCCATTTGTATGATCTCTTTGGGAAAAGTAGTCTTGATTGCCAGGAGCTGAATCCTGGGCCTGGTTGGAGATGATTGTAGCTGGTTTGGATATTCCTTCAAATGAGGTATGTCCCTACAGTGGACGCTTGCGGGCTCAGTTTATATTCCACTTGTGCCCTGTAATGGTCAGAGTGAGGAAGTGATAATGAATGGCACTTGAGAAGAGCTTTAGGACATTAGCAAATAGATAAAAAAGAAATCCATTTGGGACTCAGCACAATTTTAATAGCACTCAAGAAATATTTGTAATAATAAAATTTGTACAGACTGTATTTTTTATAAAAAGAGAGTAAATCTTATACCCTTTATAATTTCCTTTAATTTCAGCTTTTACCTGCCATGATAGTGGTGCTACAGTGCTTGCATATGCTCCAAAACATCAGGTGTTAATATCAGGAGGCAGAAAAGGTTTTACATCGGTATTTGATCTTCGCCAACGACAGCAGAGACAATTTTTCCAAAGCCATGATTCTCCAGTGAAAGCAATTGCTGTAGATCCAACTGAAGAGTATTTTGTTACAGGATCTGCAGAAGGCAATATAAAGGTGTGTAAAATGTAATGCCTTGAAATCATTCATTCTTCTCACATTAAACAGCTGCTTATCCTGACTTTCTGTAAATCAGACTAGTATATTTAATCATGTACTTCAAAACCTAATAGATGTTTCAAATCGATATTAATAGAGTAATTCTGTTTACAGATAGCCTTACAGATGCCCTTCTTTGGGGATGAGTGCCATCAGATGGCAAGTGTTTCCCTTCTGTTTGTTTTGGGCTACTGATAATTATTTTGATTTTTATAGAGGGGGGCCTGAATCACCACAATACAAATGAGATAGCTTTGTCTAGTGAGAGGAGACAGAAAGTGTGGACATCGTCTAGGGCCTACCCTACCACTAACTCTGAATGTTATCTCGGGCTGGTCACTTACTCTAACCGGGTTTTTGTTTGCTCATTTGTAAAATGCTGTCAGTAATATCAAACCCTCTCTTATAGAGTTTGGCAAAGAATAATAATAAGTAGGTTTGAAAGAAGCTTAAAAAGTAAAAGCTTTTGTGCAGATGTAAGGTAGCATCTTCATTTTGGTGGTGTATCTTGTTTCCTTGACATTTCTAATCAACTTAAGTTTAGCTGTTCATAATAGTGCTGGTTTCCAATAAATTTTATTCATTTGTTTCCCTAGACTAATTAACTCTTCTTTCTAATTGTGTTCTGATACTTTTCAGATTTGGAGCCTATCTACCTTTAATCTTCTCCACACTTTTATCAATGAACATGCTCGGCAATCCATTTTCAGAAACATTGGAACTGGAGTAATGCAAATTGAGACAGGGCCAGCCAATCACATTTTCTCTTGTGGAGCTGATGGAACAGTGAAGATGAGAATCTTACCTGATCGATTTAGTCCATTAAATGAAATGTTGAAAAATGATGTGAAATTCATGCTCTAGCGTTCTTTTCAATAATATAAATTCTTATGAACATATTTCATAAAAGTGGCCAACAGATATAATGTACAGTAATTACTTTGTAGTTGTTGTCACAAAATAAGCTTTTGCTCTCTTATGTTTATATTTATTTCATGTACCTTTACCCTTGATGCACTGATGCCTTAAAAATTAACAAGGTTATTCAGAATTTGATTATATTGCCTAAAGTAGTCTGTATAAGCAACTGTAATAATATATATATGCATATATATTTATGATATATATGGCATGGTGTTAAAAGCATTTTTTTCTTTTGTTTTTTTTGGGGGGGGAGAAACAACAAACCTTCTATAGGCATCTGTGCAGGGAATCCCTTGTTTTTCAATGAAAATCAGCCTTTTTATCTAAAGGCTGAAACATCTAATAAACATCACCACCAATCCCTTATTTCCTCTTCCAGTTCCTAAATCCTCCTTTTCCCTCTTTCTCATTGGTAGTAGAGTAGGATTTGGCTAAGAATCAAACAAGTGAACACCTCTGATTAAGATGTTAGTAAGACCTTAGTGATATGACAAATGGGTGCCTCACTACATCCAGTTTATCTTCTCTAGTACCCAGGTTTTGTTACCTGTACAACTCATTTGAGTTCAATCTGTGTATTCAATAGAGATTGAAAATCTTTTAATACCTTTTCTGCTATGATTAAAAAAACTACTGCTACCAGAATGACAATTTTTTTTAGTAACAATATAATTGACTAATTTTTTTTTTAACTTTTGGCCCCTCCATCAGATATATACAAATACTGCAAATACTCCAAAACATTAAAAATTATTTAAAAGATTATATTGACAGACAATAGTTTTAGAAGATAACAAGAATAAAATATTGATGTGTATGGATTTGAAAAAAGAGGATATTTATTTTAGGAGACTATCAAAAGAACATAATTTTATTTGCATTTTTCTTTGTTGCCTTTATGTTGTTCAGCCCAAAGATGCTGAAATCTTTGCAGCAAATTTTTACTTTGCCTTCAGATTCATGTTTAAATATAGTAGAGCTTGATTGTCTAACATTTTGCATTCAAAATACACTATTCTACCTTCAGAAAAAAAAATCATCTTTGGGGATTTTTCTTTTTGCCAAAATAAACAATTTTACAATTTAAATATTCTGAACAAATCAAAAAATACACAAAGCCTTTAACTTTTTAAATGTGCTAACATTGTTTCTGTAACTATTTTGTGCTATATCTTGAATTATAGAAAGCTTGATAAATACTTGAATTTTACCAATGAGACTGGAGGCCGATGGATTGCGTATGTGAAAATTCTATAGTGGTTTTGCTAAAAGTTATTTTGTGAAACAGGAACTATGAAACAACATTTTTATGTACCAGATATCATCTTGGAGATTAGTGGCAAAGAACTGAAGGGCTGGTAAAATGAATTTTGTAATATTCTCAGGATACTTTTATCTTAAAAGTATATTGTTAACGATTTTGTAAATTGTATTACATAATTTTAAATGTGTTGAGCAAGTTGCAGTGCAAACACTATAGTTAGCTGAAGGTTCTGTGCACATAATCTGAACTTATAAATTGTGCAATAACAAAATTTGGGCATATTTTGCCATGGAGAAATCTGTGATAACATTGCAGAGAACCAATATGATTATTTGATGCAGTAAAACTTAATTCTTCATCAATATTTTATTTGTGTAAGCATCAAGACTTAAAAAAGCTTTAAACACATTTTATTTTAATTTACTGAGGAAATTTACTATTGTGCTTATAAGAAAAAAAAAGCAATGTGTTGGGAAAATTCCATGTTTTAATTAAGCATTATATTAACTCTTAAAATGATGTAAAGTACATATGTATTTTACCCCAGAGTCATAGTATTTTAAATAAACAATCATGCAGAGACTATTCTGTTTAGCACACCATTGTTTTAAAACTGTTGATACCATGTTGATTGACTTAATTCTCCCCTTGATCTATATTTCTGAGAGCTTCTGAATTTGTATTTGGCATATTTAAGGATGACTATTTACTCTAAAATGGTAATGATTTGCTCTATGCCAGATTCTTCAGAACTTTACAGGTGAGAATTATTCACACAGAATATTAATGATACTTCGTATAAAAAATGTTTGGCAAATAGCCAGCTCAGTTGTCTATAGTAATGGAGGTTATAAGTACTTTCAGAAAATCAGTGTACCACATTTTCAAAATAATTTAATTTTAATCTTAGGAGGTACTATTTAGGAACCCATTTGAAAGTCTGTATTTAAGGATCTGGGAATTTAGATAAAGTAATGAGGTTGCAATATGAAAATCTGATTAAGATGGAACCTAGAAAGTTGGCCAATTCACCTTTCTTGGCATGCATCCTCACCTCTTTTGGCCTTAGTTTCCTCACCTATAAAATGAGAGGGTTAGATTTAGGGGAAGGAATGATAGCCATTTTCAAATATTTGAATGCTGTATCCAAAGGACAGAATTTGGAGTGATGCATGAAAGTTGCAGAGGCAAATTCAAGCTTGATTGAAAAAAAACCTTTCTACTACTTCAGAGTTAACAGTGGAACAGGCAGCCTTGGGAAGACTTTGTTGGAAGTCTTACTCAGGATTATTCTTTTTTAGTTATAGGATTGGACTAGATGTCCACTATGGTGTCTGTGAAATCTGAAATTCTATGCTAATTAGGTGACCTCTGACATCCCTTCTAGCTCAAAAGTTATGATCCTATGAAGTGAGGGAAACATGATAACTGACTTTTTTTTTGAAGGGTTCTTGTATAGAAGAGGTAATAACGGTAGAAATTACAAAGCCAGATTCTTTTTGATATATGGAAAATCTTCCTAAAAGCCAGAACTGTCCAAAAGTAGAATTGGTTGCTTCAGGAGATTTTCAAATGAAGGTTGGATTAATATAATGTGAATGTTATGCTTGACCATACTTAGGTGTATATTGGAATAGATGGCTTCTGAAGGATGTGTGGAGTCACAACTTAATACCCATATGACTAAGATCACAGATATAAATTAGTTGGACTCTGAAGATCCCTTCCAACTTTGAGAGTCCATGACATGCTAATACTTACATAGCTAATTATGTGCAGTGTTGGTAAATACAAATCAGAAGGGTAAACAAGCCCAAATACCTCTGTTCAGTTTAAGATTTTAGATTAAGAGCAAAGTCTTGATGAAAAAGAGTGCCCAGCTTTAGAAGATGCTGAATTTAGAGGACACTGACTACAATTAGCCACTTAACAGCTTAATAAAAACAAGTGGTTAAAATGGAAAGCTACCACATAAGTGACTGGAGTAAGCTGCCCCATGCACACAAGAACTGCAGGTCAGTCAGTGTCTCTTCTGTCGTCCTCTTACCTGATCCACTGAGAGAATACCACTCAGTTTGGGTGCAAACATTCCTTTGGTAACCGCCCTCAAAGAGTTTACATTCTCTAAATGAACCTAAATGAGACAGACATTTGGTTTTTCAGGTAGATTGATAACCCCTACTTTTATGTATTTTAAACTGCTGTAAAATGATGTGATAAGGATTATAAATTTCAGCTCCTCAATCAGTCAATCAAAATTTAAGTTCCTACCTTTTTCTAGGCATTGTGCTAAGCTACAAAAAGGCAAGACAGTCTCTACTCTCAAGGAGTTCACAACATGCAAACATTATATACAAAGCAAGCTATGTTGTTACCTAGTTAACAACACTTATAAACAGTAAAAAAAAAAGAGTTGGTTGCTCTTGGACCCAAATAATCCTGGCATTTAGATCAATACATTGCAGAAACACTTAGCTTGCTATATAGATGTATAATTGAATGCTTTTTGTTTGAATGGCTACACTTCTTTCAGCCCAGGTTGCAAATGAATCCTGAACAGAAATGCTAGTTTGGAGCCATGCATGTCAGTGTTTCATAAATATTGTGATAAGTACCAGTTTGAGACAGATCAAGCTACTTCTTCACTGGGTCACAAACACGATTAGCTTTTTACCTGCAATTTTTTAATTTAAAAAAACAAAACACCAAACAGTCATCTCCTTGCACTGCTAGGATTATAGAAAAATGCTTCAAAGGCTAAAATGTCTAATATGCCAGAAAACAAAAACTATGACCCTTAGGGAAAGCAAATGGGGGGGGCGGGGTTGGTCAGGGTTAGGAGAGCTTGAGGAGTCAGACCTTTATTCTGACTGTGGGTACCTGAGCTAAAGCTGAGTGAGCTCCTTCCTGGTTCTGGAAGAGGCAAAGAGAGTGTATACTGATCGTGGAGGTGTAATAGGGCATAGGCCATTTATTCAGAACTGAATTTAAAGAACTGAATCTCATCCTTCCCTAGTGGATTGACTAAGCCAAGTCGTAATACAAGTCAGAGGTACGAAAGCTGCTCCATCCTAGCAATGCCTCCGCCCCGAAAAGGAGCCAGACAATCGAGACTTCTTAGCTAAGGTTCGACTGCCAATGCAAAGTCCACGACATCTGGCCAAAGGTAGGCAGTATAGCAAAGTCTCTTAGCAAAGACATACTGAATGCTCTGATTGGTGAACCTGCGTCCTGCCGCCCAATGGAAACTGGAAACGTAATAGCGTTATCGGGAGCGCCTTTGAACCAGAGTTGTCAGTTACAAGAGCGAAAATTAAATAGCCAACAGTAGGGGAGGCGGGGCCAGCAGGGGTTCCCAATGCTAAAGGATCCCCTTTATTTAAGACAATGCTATCTTGTCGGATCGCTGATGACAGGACCAGCGGGAACGGTGATGAAGAAAGGGATAATCCTATTGACCAGGTTGTAGTCCTGGTTCCTAGACCTAATGACCCCCAAATCCGCTGTTTCCCTTTGTCCCTTACGACTCCCTCCCCCAGCCCGTTAGACACGTTACCCCCAGTGCTTGGCCTTCTCTCCTGAACTAGAGATAAGTGCAACAGAAAATCTCCCTGCGGGGCATAAAGAATATCTACCAGTCATAATCTTTAAAGCAAGCATTTATTAAGCGCCTACTTTGTGCTAGCGAAGGCTCTGCGAGTAGGAACAATCTTTCAAGGAGCTTCCAATTCTAAGTCTAAATTGTATTTTTTTTCTTTTTGCAATGAATTCCCTGAATTAGGCAGGATCCAGATCACAATCTTTAGAGGAGAAAAGGAACTTTCCTTAAAAAAAAAATTCTGGAGGCAGGGACAGCGTTTGCAGGAGGTGGACAGAGATCTAGTTCTACTCTAAACTAACGTGCAGGGTTTTCCCCGGGTCATTAAATCCAAGCACCCTAAGAAAGCCGCCAGTTCTCCAGAGGGCTCCCTTGATGTCTGTTCGCCCCCCGCCCTCCGGTGCAAGCTCGTGCCCTCCGCTCCACAGGGAGTTAGCTTGCCCCTGGCACACCGTCCACGTGCCGCCCCCGCCCCCCCTTTCGTTTCCTGTAGTCCTCGGTCCC